CACTCCATGGACCCAACCTCCATGACTTTATCTCACTTCTCTTTAAACTCTGTTCTAGTTGTAGCCTTCACAGCCTCCTGCAGCAAGGAGTTCCACAGGTTGACTCTTTGCTTTGTGAAGAAGAACTTTCTGTTACTAGTTTGAAGCCTGCTACCCATTCCTTTCCTTTGGTGTCCTCTAGTCCTTCTTTATGGGAACTAATGAAGAACTTTTCTGGATGCACCCTCTCCACCCAACTCCTGCTTTTAGAGACCTCTATCCTGTCCCCCCTCCGTCTCCTCTTTTCTAAGCTGAAAAGTCCCAGTCTCTTTAGCCTCTCTTCATATGGGACCTGTTCCCAACCCCTGATCATTGTAGTTGCCCTCCCCTCTCCCACCCGCTCTCTTCCCCTCTCCCACCTCCTTTTCCCAGTCTCCCCCAGTTTTGTTCAATAAAGACAGATTCCATTTTTGAACACAATTGTCCTTTATTTTGTACATCAAGAAAAGGGGTTAGGGAAGGGTAAGTGGAAGGAAGTGAGGGAGGAATGGGGTACGAGCCCCCGATGGGGAGGACTGGGCTGGCTCTGCAGGCTTCTGGGTGTGGAAGCTCTCCTGCAGCCCCCCAATTGACCCCCGTCCCCAGATGGCAGCCTGCGGCAAGTGCAGCTGGGCTGATGGCGAAGTGGTGTGATGTGCCCAGTGTGGGTACTCAGGGCACTCCAAGCCAGGACTGCTTTGCAAGCGGGGCACTCCTGAGAACTGTCTGTCCGGGGTGGGGGTCGGGTCCCTTTAAGCACAGCCCTCGGCTAGCCTGAGACAGCAGCTCCACGCTCTAAGTCCTCATCTGATTCCCTGCCGGCACTGCTTCTGGCCATCCTTAACCTCGGTTCAGGGTCCACTTAATGTGGACATGCTAGTTCAAATTAGCAAAACACTAATTCGAACTAGTTTTTAGTTCTAGACGCGTTAGTTCGAATTAGCTTTGTTCGAATTAACTAATTCGAACTAAGTTAGTTCGAATTAGCGCTGTAGTATAGACGTACCCCCAGAAAGTTCTCTATAGTAACTCCTATCATCCCTCCATTGAACTATTTCCCACTGATAATGAATGGTCAATTAGTTACCAAGATCATGTTATCTCATCAAACCATCCCCTTCATAAACCCATCTAGTTTAATCTTGAAACCAGATAGATCTTTTGCCCCCACTAACGTGGTTAAGATGGTTAAGACTTTGCAGGACTAAGGCCTAAATTTCTTGGATGCCCAGCTAAGAATGAACCAACCGAATCTGAATGTATATGTAATATATAAATGCAGGTATTCTGGCATTCTGATTCTTCTTCCAGTTGCTTTTACATTTATAATATAATGTATATTAAGAGACTTGTTTTTTCTAAATTTGTGATGAACAGCTTTTTGCGTAACTTACTTGTAGTTTGCATATAGTAACTTTTTAACTGGGCAATAAATATTTTCATTCAGAAAAAGTTTGTGTTGTCCATTTTACACATTTGCTTGAATTTCATATGTAAAATATAATAGAGACTAAGGCCTTTATACTATAACAGGTAGGGTTGCCAGATGTCCGGTTTTGAATGGGAGAGTCCAGTATTTGAGCTTTCTGTTCGGGAAACAAATTGAGAAAATATAAATGAGAAAATATAAATGTCCAGTATTTTCTAAATAAGATGTAATGTAGATTGTGATGTAAATGTCAAGTGTGTCCAGTATTTTTGTTGAAACCATCTGGCAACCCTAATAACAGGGATCAGCAACCTTTCAGAAGTGAAGTGCCGAGATTTAACGTATTCACTTCTATTTATGAGTCTGCGTGCCATTGATACTTTTTAAAGTCAATAATTGTCCTACTTACAGCAGTGTCATTAATAAATAAATAAAGATGCAGATCTTATTGTTTTAGTAACACAGGATTTTAAAAAATCATTGGGATCAGAGTTTTAGATGTCTGCAACACTCCAAAAAAATTCTGTTAAAACAATCTTGTTTTCTTTCTTACCTTAAGCTATGAACACCTATGTAAATTTTGTTTGAAATGTAATCATACAAATATCCTCCTAGCACACCCCTCCCCATGCAACCTGCTTTCCTCCCCCGCTCCAACCCAGCCAGAAAGAGAGGACTGCAGTCTGGATTGCAATAAATGAGTCAGACACCCAAATAAACTGTTCCCTGCTTCCACCTCACTGCACAGATGCCAGCACCCACACACCCCATCTTTCCCCCATCTACATCTTTGCAATCTGCTCCCCCCAGTCCAGGTGGGGGCTGGGATAAAATCCGTCTTCTCAAAGTAGCAGGCACCAGCAGTCTGTCCTGTCCTAACTCCCAGCTAAAGCACAAATTATCCACACCTCCCAGCACAAATAAGCTACATCCCTGCCTCCACCTCATCCCAATGCCAACATCCACCACCCCTTCTTTTCCCCACCTACCCCATGCAGTCAGCCTCATACCTTCCCCTTCCCAGGAGGCTTGAGAATGCTGAGTTTCTGCCTCTCTCTTCTGCACACAAGGGATTCTCCAAACTCCACTCCCTCTGACTCCCTCTCCCAGTTACCTACTCCCTCACTCCTCTTCCCCCTACCGAGACACTTATTCTTTCCTTATCTTGCTTTTTATTACCTCCTCTGGGAGCTGCTCTGTTTCAAGCATGGAGCCGCTCCATTTAGCACAGTGGTTCTCAAACTTTTTGGCCTGTGGACCAAGTGGCTCAATGCAAACCTTTCTGTGGACCACCAGTT